GAGAGAGAGAGAGGGGTATAAATAGAATTTTAATCGGAATATTATTTCGGAAGATAATTGATTCGATCTTTTCTCGAATCGGAATCAACGTGGAATCAACAATTCTACAACTAATATTCGATGTTTCTCTTTGTACGTAGTGCCGACCGTATCAATCATGGTTAATTTGTGGGTAAATGTCGAATGTCATTTTCGAACAAACGCGCTCAAACTTGGTGCCGGGATACCGCACGGTATCCGCCATTCCAATTTAACTTTAAGGTGTCGTACTAATATATTACAGAGATTTAATTGTAAGATAAACGGCGGTTACATGCGCACGGGCCACGATCGGCCGGTTAGTCTCTTTTGTAAATGAGAATAAGTGAATGAAATAAATACATATACGTGACCGCGTAAATGAAACAAACACAACTCTGTCCCCCTGCGTACATGTTATATTCTCTTCTCCCCACAGTGATACATAAATTAAAATTTTACACATTTGAATACTTTCGTTTGAATAATCGACATCTTTACGATCTTCTTCTTTAAAATTAATATTACGTTAGTTTTTTTTTTTTTCAAATTGATCGAAAAATAAAACTTATTAAAAATAAAATAACAATAAATCAAAAATATTACAAACGTAATAAAACTAAAAAATGAAATAGATTCTGCAACTGGTAAGAATTTAACCACCCGCGATTGTGATCTTTCGTATATTTAGGTATAATCCTCCTAATGCTGTGGTTGTAAGTCCTTTGGGATCCAGAACCATCGGGATTCTTGTTTTCTCGCACGGTGTAATTTCATAATTTTTCAATATTTCAATAATTCCAAGCTTCGATTGTAACAGTCCTAATCGCATACCTAAAATAAAAAAAAAAAGAATAATAATAAGATGATATAATATAATCGATACTTATTATGTTTTTTTTTTTTCTTTTTAGTATTATATTTTATCAGTTTATTATTGAATTTTATACCTTGAACATTCATTCATAAATACGATATGAAAATAAACAAAAATGCCGAAATAATTTTATATAAATATATATATATATATATTTCATGATTAATCGATCAAGTATAAACGAATTAATATAAAATATTCATATATACATATATATGTTGATATTTGTTAGCAAAGAAAAATATTATATTTTTTCAAATTGAATGGCTCGTGTACGTTGTTAATATGAAAAAATTACACGATCATTTGCTAATCTTCAGTGTGATAAAATTACGTAAAATAAACATTTTGATATAATATATATCCAATAATGATTATCGTACGTAGAATTAATATTATTAATGAAATATATATTATTATTATAATCGCGATTTATAAGTTATCACTTAATAATCTTACATAAAAAAAAATCTAACAAAATAAGCAAATTCTGTAAATTGATTGATCGATTATTATATTATATCGATGATTCCGCTAATTTATAAAAAAATACTTATGAAAAAAAATTATCAATTTTCCATAATTTAAGATTGAAAAATTTAAACATCCTAATTAATCGTATAAAAGAAAAAAAATGTTGAATCTTGCATCGATATCGATAATATTTATATATTTATCATTTTTATTTTATTTATCATAACTTTGTAAATTTATCACGTTATATTAAATGTTTTCTATGTACGGACTTTCAAACAAACGAAACGTAATTTACTTTCCAAATTGATAATGTTATCAACAATTTGTTAGATTTTTTTGGCATAGAGCGAGAAGAATTATTAAAATTATTGATTAAATCGAAATCTCAAAAAAAATTTCTCCCCTGTGTTGGGTATTAATAAACGATGAACTAGATAGTGTGACATAAGTGTTCGATATTAAACGTATCGAGAAGTAGAAGAAAAAAAACTTACCGATACAAATGTGAGGTCCCTCACCGAAGGGCATGTATACGAAATTTGGCCTGGACTTTTTAACATTTTCGGAAAATCTGAGCGGATCGTATTTTTCTGGATTTGGAAAGTATTTGGGATCGTAGTGCAAACCTATCATAGGAATGTAGATAGGAGTACCTTTCTCTAACGTCACATCAGAATTGGGTATTTTATAATTCTGAAGAGCGACTCGATCCAAAAATCCTAGAGGTGGATATTTGCGAAGAGTTTCCGAAATTACCATATCCAAATACGGTAGGTTTGTTATCTAGAAAAGATTAAGATTATACAGTCTTATAAACAAGTGTTTCGGTTTTTTTTATTTTATTCATTTCTTGAAAGGTCAAACGCTGATTCTGCTTGAATGATTATTCGTAATGCTCGTACCATATCATACGTGATTTTTCCATCAGTTTGCGTTAAAGCCTCGTGAATCTCGGTTCTGAGAGTTTTTTGTACCTCTTGATTCAATGCTAATTCGTACAATGTAAAAGATATGGTGGTGGAGGATGTTTCGAATCCACCGGTGAAGAATACACCCGCTTGAGATACTAAATCATCACCGTCGAATTCTGAAATCATAATTTCTCGTTATCTTAGCATTTTTACATTACATATTCCATAATGAATAAAATATCAAAAATACTTACTGAAATCATGGATTTGTTCGTCCTTGTGTTTCTCTCTCAATTCGATCAGACAATCGATAAGATCGTTCCGTTTCACATTCGATTCGATTCGTTCGTTGATCACGTTCCAAAAAGCATTTCGGAGAAGATTGGTCGCTTTTCCGAAAAATTTTACAGACAGATATTTCGTCAAATAAGGGGCGAAGAATATTGAAAGGAAATCTATGGCACGTTTAATATTGTAATCGAAGATAATTCTTCCGTATACACGGAAATCGGCATTCGGATCCTTCAATGAATTCAAATTCACTCCAAACGCAGTGCTAGCGATCAAATCAGTGGTGAAGTTCGCGCAAAGATCCTTGAATTCTATTACTTTTCCATTGCCTGAAAAATACGTTTATAAAATCATGTATCAATCATAATTGATACATTTTTGTGATTGTAATATGAATGATAAATGCAATATTTACCATCCAAATTCAACGATTCCAGATGATTCTCCAGATTTTTACTGATCATCAACATTAGATCGAACATTTTTTTTATCTTGCCCGAGGTAAAGATCGGCGTAAGTTTCGTTCTGAGATATTTCCATGCGGGATTCTTCATTATGAACAGATTTGAATATCCGATACGATCATTTTTACTATCCGTTGACGCGAATTTATCCGCAAATATATTAAAATCTTTCACCAAGATATGTTTTATGAGTTCAGGATCACGAACTAACAAGAATGGTTTGTCGAAAATATAAAAACCCATGAAAGGCAATCCTTCGCTTTGTTCGTACAACTCCTTTATAAATTCTGAAGCTGATTTCTTTAACAATAAGCAATCTCCAAAGTTGCCAAGGAAGGGCGTAGGAGTAATCTCCATAACGCCTTTTTTCGACCAATATTTGAATTTTCGAGTCATGAACAAGTAAGCGGCTATCATCAAGGATGAGGAAACGATGAGGATATCCAGACTCCAATATGGCGTTAAGAGAGTCATTTTGAAAGAATCTATAAAAGCAGATATATATATATATATATAAAATAGAAAAATAGGATTAATTTTTGTTTGAGATTTGAAATTTCGATAGCGATAGAAAAAATAATAATGAAAAGTAATCACAATAACATGAATAAATAAGAAAATTGATAGATGAAAATATTCCATTTAAAAAACGAATATATAATCATAACTTTATATCGATATCGAGTTAAGATGTGTAAATAAATTGATAGATTGATAGATAGATAGATAGATAGATAGATAGATAGATAGATAGATATATAGTGGAGATGAAAAATAATATTTATTATTAATCAAATATGGAAAAAAAGGATTTTAAATAGATACGGAGAAAAGTGTAATGAAAGTAAAAAGTAATGAATCAGTGAATTATAATAAGAAATAAGAATAATAGGCAACAAAGATAGTTGGATAATAATAATAATTAACAATAATAATAACAAAATCAAAATTTTTGTCACACTTCACGATAAAATATATAAATTCGTATGGAATAAAAATATAAAACGAAAATTTCGAAAATGAAGCACTAGAACAAAATGTATGTCAAATTACATTTTTCACCACAAATATCTTCCGATCTTGTGAACTTCGTGATTCGAACTGAACTTGATACCGTCAAACGAAATATATATATAGACGCACTGTATATTTAGTTATCTATGCTAGGTTTCCTTCTAAACTCTTCCTTTGCATTTTTTCTTTCTTGCGTGTCATTGATAATAGAGCGTTAATGCAAGTTGTCTTGCATTAAGTAAGTAAGTAATAATCATCAAAATATATAGAAATAATTTTTTAAAAATAAAATTTTTCTTTTTCTAATAAATAAGAATTATATCTTTTCCTATATTAATTGATATAATTATTCCATCTTCTTCGATAAAATAATTTAACTTATCTTAATTTAATTAAATAATTTATCTTAAAAATTATTATTTTTTTTATTTAAAATAAGTTTATATCATAATTTGATTAAATAAATGCCAAGCAAGGAAAATATAATGGTATGGTACATAATTTCAAGGATGAATTGTTGAACTTTGTATTACAAACACGCAAATATATTATATAACAATTGAACATAGTAGAAAAAAGATAATGGTTAAGTTCGTTGCACTCGATACATTAACAAATATTATTGACAAAAAATATCACATCTATAGATAAAGTTAATAATTAAAATATTGCGGAGTATTTCGCTTCTTTCCGTTTCTTCTTTATAATATTATTTAAAAAATATTTAAAGGATGGTGAATAAATGATGAAAGTGAATAATGTAGTAATTCTATATATAAAAATGATTTTATATTCAAAATTTTAACTTTGAATTTTAGGAAATCGATTATCTATATATTTAAAAATATATATTTTCTTGAAAAAAATAAAATTGATCTTCATTCAAAAATTTCTTTCATAGTTTATGTACAAAAAAATTTCATTATACGAAATTAGTTTTCTCATCTTTTTTAAAATCTTCTTTAAATTAAAATCATATTTGAAATATATTTGTATAATAATTTAAAAGATGATTAAGAAAATCTATTTATTGTATATACATCATAGTCAAGATTACTACGCAGCAGGAATGAAGGATTCTATTCACATTCTTAACATGACATAACGAATACGTACTTACACTATATGAATTTATTTTATTTTATTTAATGTTATCGTTACATTTATATATTATATTATATTTAATATTCAATTAATTTTATTGATTGTTTATTTAAATATGATACTTTAATACTTTTAATAATTAATACTTTTTAACTTAATATCATAGTTCTTTTCCATTTTCTGACCTTCGATAAACCTAAAATTATGTGCATAATTATCTGCATTAATTTGAATAAAGATTAACTTCACTGAGAAACATACTATCATTGTATAAATATGTTATAGTATATTATACTATAAATTATATGATGTTAAATATATTTATTTATTACAAGAAATGAAATATTTAATAAATAATAAATATTTTAAATAAATATTTAAACATTTGTATGGTATATATAAATTATTGAAATGCGTATCAGCAAATTATTTCTTGTAATATATATTTCAGAAAATTTGTATCTTTTATTTTTTTTTATTTTCTCTTTTATTATACAATATTATTCTTCTATAATTTTATATATAATATTTTTATCTGTTTTGTCTATTTATTTTTTACATAATATTTATTTTCCTATAAAGTGTAACTTTATGATTTTTCATTGTTAAAAAAAAAATCTCAAATCTTTTTAACTTATAAAATTTATTAAATCGCGTAATAAATAAGAAATAAATGATAGTAATTAAGAAAAATTATGCTAAGTTTGCTAAATCATCTAATATATTACAAAATTTCCATTGAATCATATCCATTCTATCATCAAAACAGACAATTATTTTATTTCACGATAAATATATATATGTATGTATGATTTATATAACTAATTAATAATATAGAATTATACAAGATAGATAGACACGATAATAATTGAATAATAAGAAATATTTAAAATATTTCTTGCTTTATCGAAAATATCTAAAATATTCATTTACACGTTAAAAAAAAAATATTTTATTAATCATTTTATACACAGTGATTTCACACAAAATTGAAACTAATGGTGTTAATTTTGTAAGCAAACAACGTTTTGAAAGCAAATAATCAATAATTCACGAGATTTTATTTAATATTCTTCTTTCATTGTCATCGTCTTCAAGTAATCGTAAAATCTTTAGGAATTGAACATAGATCATTCATCTACGTTCAAATATATCGAATGATTTTTTTCTACTCGATATACATTGCATTGACAGGTTCGACGTAAGATCAAAAAAACTGCATGCGTTTTAGTCTAACGCGCGCACGTTTCGTTAGATTTTAATAAAAGTATTTCATTTCCTTCGATATTCTTCGTTTACCAAAATCCATTGATGATAAATCTATTCTTAGGCTTAGTTTGTGACGAAAGGCAAGCGATTTACATCGATTCAAGGGAAGGAAGGAAACGACAGGTACGAAAAGAGCGTCGGTAACAGGAAATGAAGACGGTAGGTAAAGTATGGAACTCATTTCCTGTTTCTCTCTTATGGTTCTTTTAATTCTCCATAGATGGCAGAAAAGAAAAGTTTGGATTTAAACTTGATTAATTATATATTTAAATGTTAGAACGAACATGTACAACAATATGATTTTAATACGAAAAAATATTATATAAATTATATAAGGTATTATATAATTATATATATATATATATAAGAAATTGAAATTACTAATTAATATTTTGAGTGATAATTATTTCATCGATAACAATAATGATGTGTTCAAATGACAAACAAAATGACATTTCAATTCATTATCATTTATCTTATTAAAAATTTCTCTCTGATCTCATAGTTTAAAAGTTTATCTTTATTAATTTCTCTTTTTATCTTGGTTTAAAATAACATTAAAAATACAAATAATCTTTCATTAAAAATATATTATTTTGCTTGCTCCGAGCTTCTCCTCAACGATATTGGAGGAGAATCGTTTATCAAAAATTTTTTTCTTCTTCTTTTTCTTTTTCTTCTTCTTCTTGTTTCGAATCAAAACCGTTTCCCCGATCGGATACGAATTCTTCCGTGGATCAAGATGAAGAAAGAGGCACGGTATCGCGGCCCGGTCTCATGAATTAGGCATCGGACAAGTTAATGAAAGTTTTCCCGGCCCATTACGGCTAATAATAGAGCGGACCGCCGCTGTCTTCTGCTCGACTCTCGGGCTCCGTCCATGGAATCCCGAAACCGTGATTCCTCGTATATCCGCACCGCTCGTCCGTTGATGGACAGAGACGGAGCGAAATAAAATTGCCAACTTAAATAACTCGCGGTTGATTATAATTTTCGACGGTCCCGGGGCCTGTGCGCAAATACTTTACGACCGTGCCACGGCATACGGAATAAGGTGATACACGTAAATTATAGTTATTTCGCGTCTCGACCTATTACGAGCATGCGTAATAGGCGCGACCGATGCGTGTAATTATTATGGTAAACTTTACCGCTGGTGATCGCTTTCTCGCTTTTTTCGCCCGTTTCACGTGCCACACTCCGCTCCTTCCTTATTTACATGATTCTCGCATAAATAACTATCACGATGCCCCCGGTTCCAATCATTTTTTCGCAAATTCGCGCGAAACGAAATATGGATTCGAAAGTGATCGATCGTTGAATACCTCTTCGAGAGGGAGAAACCATATATTTTTAATATCGCTATCTGTGAAAAAAAATCTTGATAAAATTATCGTTCGTATATTAAATTGTTATTGAAATTATCTCTTATCTATATCGGGCGATATATTTTACGATAAAATTCTTATTTATTTGTGTCGATGATACTTGTCGTACATTTGTAGATTAGATCGTGTATTGTGCGTTTTATATTTTGAACGCATGACATTTCGCCGTGTACATCGAGAGCGTAGAAAATTGAATCGGAATTCGGATCGATACGCGACAGAAAGTTCACTTATCTGGAGTCGACGATGGACCATTGCATCGGATAGAGGCGGACGATTTAATCGTACGTTCGACGATTTATTTAAAAAGAAAATAAATGAATGAAACTAAACTCTTCCCTTTCTATAACTTATCATCTAGCTCTTGATTTTTACCACTGTAATTATTTGCTTACCACTGTAGATATTTCGGTAAATTTTCAACGGTAAATATAGTATTGAATCGAAAACGAGTTAACTAGCTTATCGCTATGGAAAGAAAGTCTGTAGTATCAGGCGGAACGACAAAGTTTTCTCTGCAACTAGATTTTCGTTTAGACGAGGTGCTCGGATTGGCTGAGCCGTTTCGCAGGAAAGACGAAACCGGAAGCGGTGAGTTGCGAATTCGGAATCCGCTCGAAATTGCCGCTAGCTCATTCGTCTGCGCGCCAGACGAATGGAATTTCCGCTTCGAAGTTTAGTTTTGCTTGTTTTTCAAGGACGAAGGAAGAATACGCTCGAACTCGAGACATCGATTTTGCGTAAAAAATCTCTCTCTGCGTACTCTCTGCGTAATAAAACGAGAAATTTGTTGTTCGTGTGCAAAGATCAAAAGTTGGAACGAATTATTTCCGAAAAGTTTTCGAAAACTTCGTATGTGAAACTTTTAGATTCAAAGATGCGAGTGTTGAAAAATAATCGATGAATCGAGAAAGTTTTATAAAGAAGAAGAAGAAAAAAAAAAGATCTATAGCATAATTAATATTATGACGGCTAATATTTTTGATTGCAAAAAACACGTTTAATCCCGAAACCAAAGAAAAAGAGAGTTTTTTTAGTAATATGAGATTGGTCGGTCGAGTATTAAATTTCAATATTGCTGTCCTATAAAAAACGAGTAATATGATTGATCGTGCTTGTCTCCCGTTGTATTAAAATACGAATAATTTTATGGAAATTTGATTTTACAAAACTAAACCGAACGTTTCGCCGAGATTAAAATATTTTTTTGAAGCGAGCAGAGTCTAGAAAACTATCGGAACGATCGATTTTAAATTTTAAAGGTAAATCCCTTATATCCCTTTAAACAGAAATCTATACTTTTTCTTTGATGATACCATCTAACGTTGACCTTTATCCTTTAAATAGTAGTAAGTGTCGTATGGATCACTGGTGACCCATACGTTATCTATTCGAAGCAGAAGTATTCCAATCACGGCAACAAAGCGAACTTATC